ACAGCTTAGTCTTTCAGCATAACTGCAGACAAGCTATCTTCCTGCTGTGATAGATTTATGATGAGGGTTGGTTGTGGTTGGGGGAAAGACCGTATGCCCGTTGGTTCTTCTCCCCCGAGCACTACCGTCTTCACTCGAATAGAACGCCCGGTCATTATAGTTGTATTTGATGCAACTTTCATTCCGGGCGTTCTATTTGGGTGAAGGCCGTAGGCACGCTCAGCATGACCGTACCGTATGCAAGCTGCCTTCCCATTCTGATAGAGTTGTAACGAGGGTGCGTTGTATTCAGGGGAAAGATGGTATTCAGGGGAAAGATGGTTAGCTCGCCGGTTTCTAATTTTCTTTGCCACTCGTATGGTCTGGCTTCGGGCCACAGCCACAGTATTCTATCACTCACCAAATGTGCGAATTAGACAATGCATTTTTCCTTACACTGCCGTAGCTTTTGTGTTTTTCACCGTTGTCTAGTGGTGCGGCAAGGCCCTTCGCCCATCATCTTGATGGGAAAAGTCATAAAACCAAAGTCATAAAACCTCCCCACGACAAAACCTTTGTATCCATTTCCCCTCCAAAAGGGGGAAAAAGGTGCTCCAGGCCCCAAAATCACTTTCGGCGTCATTTTTGCACCCTGCAAACCACTTTCCCGCCATTTTTCCACAGCGGCCCTGCAAAACACTTTCCCGCCATTTCTACACAGCAACCGTTACCGGCCCAGCCAGGGTAAAAACAATGACACCAATTCCCGGGGCTAGGTCCCACTTACACGAATTATGCAATATTGACCGCAGATAGCAAAGATCAACGGCCAGAATCTCTTAATCCGTGCGGGTGGGACCTTGCCCCCGGGTTGGGGGGAAATGGATACAAAGGTTTTGTCACGGGGAGGTTTTATGACTTTTCCCCATGATCTTGATCCAACAGTAAAAGTACAAAAGAGAGAGAAAAAAAAGAAGGAACTTTCTGCCCAGAGGAAGACAGCTGGATGCACAGGCGAAGCTGGAAAGAATACCAACTGTTATGTAGCAACAACTCAATTACAAAACCGACGTAAACCACCAAAGGCAACAGCAACAACAACAACAATAACAACAACAACAATAACAGCAACAACAACATGCATCCTTAAAAACGGATGCAAAGAGAACTAGACCGAATTCTTTGTCACGTCCAAGCTAGAACTGAGAAAAGACAGAGGCGAACAGGAGAGAAGAGGAGGAGAAGCAGAAAACAATGAAGAAGAAGAAGAAGAAGAAGGAGAAGAAGAAGAAGAAGAAGAAGAAGAACAACAAGAACAAGAACAAGAAGAAGACAAACTGAAATTGAACTAGAGAGGCTGACAGCTATGCGTCCATGTACAAGAATAGAATGACATGAACACAAACACATGGACAAATATGCTCAAAGCGCACCGCCGCACAGTCCCCAAAGGCCCGTTTTGCCTGGCTGCGCACCAGGACTTATCAGGGGGCTTCCTCTCCCCCATCCACCTTAGCATACCACCAGAGCAAAGAGGACCATTTTGGCGTTGCCCTCAGAAGATATCGCTGGCCGTCCCCAACTCCGCTCCTCAACGACTCGTCCGACTGCAACTGACTGACCTTGCATTAGGTATACCATGAAAAATTGCATAAATAGGTAAAATAATAAAATATACCATTCTGGCATTCTGTGAGGAAGACTTGGCATACAATTTGCTGATCATTTGCAGGTATATAATTGTCAGCATGTCCCAGTGCCTTAGGTGCATTAAAAAATTCAAAAATGCACAAAAATATTGCAAAGGCTACCCAACCTACTAAATCCTTTTGCAGCGGCCGTGGAGACTGCCAGCTATATCTTCTGAGGGAAGGCCAAAACGGCCGTCTTTGCTCTTGGTGGTATGCTAAGGTGGATGTGGGAGACAGGAAGCCCCTGGATAAGTCCCGCAGTCAGGCGAAACAAAAGTAGTAGTAGTCGTCGTCGTCGTGGTTGTCTTCGTCTTCGTCTTCGTCGTTGTCGTCGTAGTCATAGTCGTAGTCGTAGTAGTGGTAGAAGAAGAAGAAGAAGAAGAAGAAGAAGAAGAAGAAGAAATGGAGGAGGAGGAGGAGGAAGAAGAAGAGAAAGTCGGGGGAAAGGGAGGCTCAGAGTCTCCGGAACACGATGAGAGAATTTGTTGTTGTTCTTTCCTTGTCCGTTTTGTAGGATCGACTGTCGTCATTGATGCGTTACCTTAGGTTCTGCAATTGAATACATGCTGAGTCGTTGCTGACATACTTCCACATCAGCCAATGACTTTGGGAATGACACAGTGATTCAGGTTTCTATTTTGTCGTTCGTTTTTTGTTTTTTAAAAGGCGTGACGGCATTGCTGTACCCATCAATCGTAGAACCGATCGGCCGCAGGTAATAACCTGGTGTGCGGCAATTTGAAGACGTTGCCACTCGTACGCACCCTCGTACGAGTACGGACTCGTACTCTTGTACTCGTACGCTACTCGTACGCTAGGGGCCCCGTACGAGGTTTTTTTTTTTTTTTTTTTT